ATGTGGTATTCTTAAAAATACAGTTAAAGAAATCAAATATATAACATTGTAACAGAAACACAGATCAAATTAAATGTTACTATTATTATATACCTAGAAATATATGTTGTGATTACTAACAGAAATACTGTGAAATATTCTCTATAATTATGCTCTGATTAGAAAGCCTGTAAAACAAACTGAATGTAATACTAACATACAGGAAAACAAGTTGAGTGTAATACTAACATACAGGAAAACAAGTTGAGTGTAATACTAACATACAGGAAAACAAGTTGAATGTAATATCATGTTTGAAGAAATATTTGAAACAAGTCCCATGTATGTTTTAGAAATATTTAAAACATGCAAATCAGTATACTGTATTCCTAGAAAAGATTTCGCGCATTTTAAGTTAGCCCTTTTCGCGGTAGGCATGATTCCGCGAATCTTAATAGCCGCGAATATGTCACTTTTAACAAATCCGCGAACATTTCTAGCTTCAACCAAATATAACATAAAAAGTGCAGAATATTTATTATAATCTACTTATACAAAAAAACAACATAAAAACACAGGCGCTATAGAAATGTGTAAAGAATTATTTATGTATGTTATTGATACTAGTTGCACGCTGAAAAAGAAAATATCAATTATTAGTAATTATCATGCTTATTGACGGTTAGTCAGGGCGTTGACAAACGCATTTACAGTTTGTGAACATTGAATGACTTGGATTTTATTTGCTTGGAGTAGGTGTAATCCTTTGTTGTCCCCCGCCTTTTCGAAGAAAAAAGGGGGATATAGAAATAGGCTCCGTCCGTCTGTCCGTCTGTCTGTCCGTCCGTCCGTCTGTCCGTCCGTCACACTTTCGTGTCCGGTCCATAACTTTGTCATTTATGAAAGGAATTTGAAATAACTTGGCACAAATGTTTATTATAATAAGACGATGTGTCATGCGCAACACACCAGACCCTACCTCCAGGGTCAAGGTCACACTTGCTCATTCAAGGTCAAAATTGCTATTTGAGGGTATATGTCGTGTCCGGTCCATAACTTTCTTATCTATGAAGGGATTTTGTAAATACTTGCCATAATTGTTCACAATAATCAGACGATGTGTCATGCGCAAAAAACCAGTACCTACCTTCAAGGTCAAGGTCACACTTGGAGGTCCAATATATACATAGTCTGTTACGGGTATTTTCGTGTCCGTCATAACTTTCTTATCTAGAAGGGATTTTGTAAATAAACTTGCCATAATTGTTCACAATTATCAGACGATGTGTCATGGCGGAAAAAGCAGTCACCTACCTTCAAAAGGTCAAGGTCACACTTGGAGGTCAAATATTTACATAGTCTGTTACAGGGTATATTTCGTGGCCTGGCCATAACTTTTCTTTATCTATGAAGGGTTTTGTAAATACTTGCCATAATTGTTCATAATAATTTTATCAGACAATGTGTCATGCGGCAAAAACCAGTTGCCTACCTTCAACGTCAAGGTCACACTTGGAGGTCAAATATTAACATAGTCTGTTTACAGGGTATGTTTCGTGTCCGGTCCATAACTTTGTCATTTATCAAAGGAATTTGAGTAACTTGGCACAAATGTTTGGTTATAATAAGACGATGTGTCATGCGCAAACCAGACCCGTACCTTCAGGGTCAAGGTCGTACTTGTTCATTCAAGGTCAAACATTGTCTATTTGAGGGTATATGTCCGTGTCCAAGTCCATAACTTTCTTATCTATGAAGGACTTTTTGTAAAATACTTGCCATAATTTGTTAACAATAATCAGATTTGATGTGTCATGCGCAAAAAACCGGGGTCACCTACCTTCCAAGGTCAAGGTCACACTTGGAGGTCAAAAAATACTTACATAGTCTTACAGGGTATATTTTGTGTCAGGTCTATAATTTTTTTCATAGATCAAAGGATTGTGAAAATACTTCGCACAAATAGTCACTATAATAAGAGGATGTGTCATGCGCAACACCTGCATCCCTAACCTCCAAGGTCAAGGTCACACTTAGAGGTCAAATTAACATACCAAGTCTTGTTATGGGTATATTTTTGTGTGGAATCTAGAACTTCTTTCATAGTTCAAGGGGATTTTGAAATAACTTGGCACAAATAGTCACAAATAAAAACGTTTTATGTCATGCACACAACCTGCTCCCCTACCTCCAAGGTCAGTTCACACTTAGAGGTCAAAGCTAACCATGATAGATTTTTAAAATTCCGTGTTTCATTTTATTTTCTTAACAAATTATTTGTTACATTTGCAGATCTAGCATTGATGCATAATTTTGGACTGAATGTCCTGAGATCCATACCTCAATCTTTTGAAATAGCACAATTTTATGCTTCATAATTAAAACTCCCTGGGGGCGGGGACGTTGTAACTCTGTTTACAAATTCTTGTTAAAAGTACAATAGCGATATTGAAAACAACTGTTATGTTGTTATAAATGAAAGCAAATTACACCCGACAATGTGTAAAAAAATTACGTAATCGACTTTTTTTGAAGAAAAAGTCAGTTATGATTCAAATGAGAATAAAAGCTAAGGGGTCTGACTAAATCTTACTTAATCACATAATGAAAAAAGGTAAGGAAACATAAATGTAGGTCAATAGATGAACATTAATCGAGTAACGGTGCGCTTAGGCGCGACTTGTCAAAAAAAAATAAAATAATTTTTAAAGCACCCCAAACAGACAGACAAGGTCAATCAAAAAAACGTAGCCTCCAAAAACTGTAATTTAGGCCGTAGCGACTTAACATTCGCGGAATTCGCGGTTACTACATATCCACGAAAGTTTGTCTCCGCGAAAATGCCGACGTTGTAAAAAACGCAAAATATTGTATCCGCGAAGATTTCTAGGAATACAGTACTATTATCATCTTAGAATACTGGAAAACAACTCAGATGTAATATTGTCATTGAACATACAGTAAACAAGTCTAATGTATGGTAATATTATCATTTAAGAAATACTGCAATCAAGTCTGATGCAATAATTATCATTTGTGACATACAGAAAACAAGTCTGATGTAATAATTATCATTTGTTAAATACAGTGAAACTATTCTGATGTAATATTATCATTTCAGAAATACAGTAAACAAGTCTGATATAATATTATCATTTGAGAAATACAGTAAAACAAGTCTGATGTGATAAATTAAGCAAACAAGTCTTATGTAATAATAATAATATTTGAGAAATACAGTTAAACAAGGCTGATGTAATTATATCATTTGAGAAATACAGTTAAACAAGGCTGATGTAATTATATCATTTTAGAAATACAGTAAACAAGGCTGATGTAATTATATCATTTTAGAAATACAGTAAACAAGGCTGATGTAATTATATCATTTTAGAAATACAGTTAAACAAGGCTGATGTAATTATATCATTTTAGAAATACAGTAAAACAAGGCTAATGTAATTATATCATTTTAGAAATACAGTAAAACAAGGCTGATGGAATTATTTATCATTTTAGAAATGCAGTAAAACAAGGCTAATGTAATAATTTATCATTTTAGAAATACAATAAAACGAGGCTGATGTAATTATATCATTTTAGAAATACAGTAAAACAAGGCTGATGTTATTATTTATCATTTTAGAAATACAGTAAAACAAGGCTGATGTAATTATATCATTTTAGAAATACACTTAAACAAGGCTGATGTAATTATTTATCATTTTAGAAATACAGTAAAACAAGGCTGTTGTAATTATTTATCATTTTAGAAATACAGTTAAACAAGGCTGATGTAATTATATCATTTTAGAAATACAGTAAAACAAGGCTGATGTAATTATATCATTTTAGAAATACAGTAAAACAAGGCTGATGTAATTTTTTATCATTTTAGAAATACAGTAAAACAAGGCTGATGTAATTATATCATTTTAAAAATACAGTTAAACAAGGCTGATGTAAAAACAAGGCTGATGTAATTATTTATCATTTTAGAAATACAGTAAAACAAGGCTGTTGTAATTATTTATCATTTTAGAAATACAGTAAACAAGGCTGATGTAATTATATCATTTTAGAAATACAGTAAAACAAGGTTGATGTAATTATATCATTTTAGAAATACATTAAAACAAGGCTGATGTAATTTTATCATTTAATCTAGCCTGATATAATTATCAATTTGTCACACACAAAATCATCATTTTGTCACATGATACAATTATCAAATTTTCACATGAAATAATTATCAATCTGTCACAATATATAATTATCATTTTGTCACACATATAATTATCAATTTGTCACGCAATATAATTCTCATTTTGTCACACATTTAATTATCAATTTGTCACACAATATAATTATCAATTTGTCACACATATAATTATCAATTTGTCACACAATATAATTATCATTTTGTCACACATATAATTATCAATTTGTCACACAATATAATTATCAATTTGTTACACATATAATTATCAATTTGTCACACAATATAATTATCATTTTGTCACACAATATAATTATCAATTTGTCACACAATATTAATTATCAATTTTTGTCACACATATAATTATCAATTTGTCCACACAAATAATGAATTTATCATTTTTTGTTCACACATATAATTATCAATTTGTCACACAATATAATTTTCAATTTGTCACACATATAATTATCAATTTGTCACACAATATAATTATCATTTTGTCACACATATAATTATCAATTTGTCACACAATATAATTATCAATTTGTTACACATATAATTATCATTTTGTCACACATATAATTATCAATTTGTCACACAATATAATTATCAATTTGTCACACATATAATTATCAATTTGTCACACAATATAATTATCATTTTGTCACACATATAATTATCAATTTGTCACACAATATAATCAATTTGTTACACATAGAATTATCAATATGTGACATGATATTATTATCAAAATGTTACATGGCATGATTATCAATTTCACCATTTGTATTAAATTTTTTTTCAGATAAAGATTGCAGTATGTAAGTTCTGCTGCTTACAGAGATTGGATGACATTGCATTTACATGAAAGGTACTAATACTTTATTTATTTAATTCTATAATGTCTTTGATAAAATGTATGAAAATGTTTGTTACCCTTTTGCAGTATTGCTTTTTGAAAATTGAGATTCCAAACTCGGAAGTAACTGTTCCAATGTACATCTATCTTGCAATAAACTGTTCTTAGCCTCTCTAACTTGCAATGAACTGTTTCATTACATTAAAATGAATATTTCAATAACACTTACAGAGGATGGGTGTGGTAGGGTGCAGTAGTAACAGATAAATTTCAAAGTTCAATCCTCCCCTGTGACAACTAGATTTCAAATCAGATTCTTAGAAAAAAAAGGAAGTTCCACATAATGGTGCTTCTGAAATGCTTGTTTGAAAAGAACCAATTGTTTCAGAAGCTATTGCATTATATATACTGCAAAACATAGAAAACATAACACAGTTTTTTTTAGAGGCATATGCCTGTATCAGTTTCAGGTAACAAACTTGAAATTAGATATATGTGTTTCATCCAGGCACAAACACACCTATGGGTTTAATATTATGTAAAATAAGTATACAAGTCATATAATACTACGGAAACGTATAGCGACCACCCCTATATGTTAGTAAAAACAGAATTTTTGACAATTTATTTAATACATATTATATACCTAACCAATTTTTACAAACTTACTTGATCTGAAATATGTATCTAGTAATATTTACCGCCTTTGAATGTTAGTAAAACAGAATTTTAGACAATTTATTTAACACATGATATATATTTGACCAATATTTTAATTGTTATTTGATATTGAATATATATTTTTTACTCAACCTGCTGTTAATATTGCTCTATTAAAATTTATGTGAGTTTTTTCTGCTCATTTATATGACTGTATTAGTTATATATATTTGATGTTTTTTTTATTATAACATAACATATTTTACAGTTTATAGATAATGAGGACAGAAAAATCCCACGTAATATATAAAGGAAGCAATTAAATCAAGTTATGTTGTAAATCATATATAATACGTATTTTTTCGTAATCTATCGTATGTTTTTACCTTATAATGCAAGATTAACTACTTTTAACTTTCTGACAAAATGAAAAAATAATACACTTACATCTTTTTAAATATGTATTTCTTTCCTCAAATCATATTTACATATAACAAACATACTATAAAACTATAAAAAATGTCATTTGATATATATCATATAGGGGTGGTCGCTATACGTTTCTGTATAATATGAATACAGATTAAGATATAAATATATTTACAGTCAGGTATGTCATTGCATATACCTTATTATTTATATATTATAGTGCAGATTTAAAACATGCATTTTATATGCAACTTATAGCTCAGTGATGTATTGGAAAAGCCTCGGGACCATGTTTTTAAACTGAACAGAAGTTTAAATTTATTGTGGATAGTTAACAGATATATGATTTTGCGGAAGGATGTAGGAAATAAACTTTCAGATCAATCTGTCATTCAATGCAAGTGTTTTATTTATTGGTGAAAGGTGCAGATGTGAATGTATAGGACTGTTAATTAAAGTAGTAGCCTCGGGTTTGTTTAACTTATTTCCAAAAAGGTAAATTGCGGTTGTTTCATTTACACGTTATTTCAGTATTTATTTCATGATCGGATGACCATAAAGAATGTTATAGGTCATCACCTAAGAAAGTGTTTTCCGCTGTCTGAATTTAGGTCACTCATTAGCCTCGATCAAGGTAGCCGGCAATATACAGCAATATACCTATTTCTAGTCGCAAATTTAAATTCTCAGCTGTTTGGACGATCACTAGTATATTAAATAGTTGTAAAATTGGAAAAAAATTGGCACGTGTACATTGTGTATAAAAATCATTTCATAATTATATTAAATTAAATTGTAAGAAGTTTGAAGTTTAACATGTACTGTATATACAAATTGCGGAGATAGTTAATTTGATACAATTTCAAGTTAAAATGTTAAATAAATCACGTAGTAGATAGTTAAATTTGATACTGCGTGAAGGACAAAAACAATAAGTCCTTTTACTTACTATATACACTGCAGCCGCGATATAGCGCTATCGGATATAGCGCTAATCTCAGTAGAACGCTCATATGCCTTGGCTCCCAAAAAAAAAATCGTATTTTTCGTCAATTATAAAAAAATTTTCATGTATATCAATACCGCGCCGTATCCACTATAACGCTTGTTCAATGTGTCAGTCTAGTGCAATAAACAATAATAATTACGTCACTCATGATCAGAAGGTGTGAAATCATACACAGGTAAGCGTTAATCCGCTCTTTTGTTCATGTTGAACTGTTGATCAGTCAGGTATCAAACTGTTAGCTGTGACATGCAAACACCGACGAGTTGAGTAAATCACACAAGCGTACAATGAATTTTTAAAAAGCATGCATTCTCGATCTATCGGCAAAAAAGTTGTTGCTATCTAACGAAGAGGATTATCTCAGGATCTTGGATTTCAGCATCGATTATTTTGATTACATTGTCTTATTATCATAACTTTATTCACCTAATATTTACGCTGCTTAACACATTTCACCCTTACATTAACAGTGCACTTGTTTTCTTGTTTTTGTTATTCTTGCTATATTTTTTTTTATAACACTGTTTTTCTTCCCTTTTACTAACTTTGTTCGTAGTTTTTTTGTTGTTTTTTTTTTTTTTTCATTTTCTGTTTGTTGTTCATTTTCTTTTATTTTGAACTACGAGGAAAAAATGGCTGCTATGGAGGAATCAAGGAAAGAGAAGGCATTCACCATCGTAGAGAAGCTTCATATTGTGGACAGGATCAGGAACGGGGAAACACAGGCGAAGATCAGCAAGGAGACGGGAGTAGCGGGTTCTACATTACGTGGATGGCTTAAGGACGAGGGTAAATTACGGGCCGCTAGCAGCACGATGGACGATGGTGGTCAGATAAGGAAAAGAGCCAGACATGCCAGGACCATAAACCTTGAGACAGACCGTTCTTACATGGTTTAATCAAGCGAGGTCCGAAGGCATGCCTGTCTCTGGTCCTGTTATCCGGGCACAGGCAAAGAAGATGAACCAGGAGTTGAATGGCGATGATAGCCAGTTTTGAGGCATCTAATGGATGGCTCTCACGGTTTAAGCACCGTCATTCAATCTCCCAGGTTACGATAAGAGGAGAACAACGGTCCGCAGATGAGAGTGCAGCAGCAGCTTACCGGAGGAGCTAAGGAAATTGGTGATGGACCAACAACTATGTTGCTGACCAGATATACAACTGTGACGAGACCGCGCTGTATTTCAAGATGCTCCCCGATAAAACATTGGCTTGCAAGACTGACACCCAGAAAACACTAGGCTTCAAGCAGGCTAAAGATCGTGTTACTGTCTTGTTATGCTGTAATAAGGCAGGAACGCATAAGCTTGCTCCCCTAGTGATAGGGAAGTTTGGGAAACCAAGATGCTTCCACCACATTAATATTGAGTAGCCTTCCAGCTCTCTACAGGCATTCTAAAAAATGCTGGATGACGTCAACAATTTTTGAGGAGTGGTTTCATGAGGATTTTGTGCCTTCTGTCAGGAAACACCTGCGCCGTAAAAAGTTAGAGGCGAAGGCCATTCTTCTCATGGATCACTGCCCTGCTTCATCCGGGTGTTGAGTCGTTGACGTCACTGGACCGTAAGGATTAAGGCCGTGTTTTGCCCAAAAACACCACTTCAAATTGCAGCCTTTGGATCAGGGGATAATTGCCACTTTTAAGCGCAACTACCGGCGTAATCTCACAGGCATTATGATTGAAAAGCAAAATGTCTGTGTCTGCATTACCTGCGCAAGTTGAACTTAAAGGAAGCAATTCATCTCTGTGGGATGCATGGAGAGAGGTTTCAACGAAGACAATTTACTGGCTGTTGGAGAAAGGGACTAGGAGCGGCGTTCGAGCAGGAGGATAACTCGGGAAGTGAGGAGTTCGAGGGATTTGACCAGGAGGATTTGGCTATAGCAGAACGGCGAGCAACGGAGATTGGGACCTTCACAGAAGAAGAATTGAAGTCAGCTAGACAGTTTATTTTGATTCTGAGATGGATGATATATGCATCCAGAATTGGATAACTGCCGACAACGAGGTCCCCACCCACCACTTGTTGACAGACGAGGAAATCATCGATAGCGTCAGGGGAGAGACAACGACCGAAGAAATTGACGAGGAAGAAGAAAACATTGTGTATGAGCCACCTCCGGTAATTTCTGATGTGTTATGTTCTCTAGATACGGTGATGCGCTGGATTGAAACATCAAAGCGTAGCACTGTATCTAAAGTTCAGGCCGTCAGGAATCTCATAACATGATGCCAGGATGGATGCGAGGGAAAGTACAGTTCAGCGGAAGATGACTGATTTTTTCACAAGAGACAGCAGGAAAGACGATTAATTTAGTCCCATCAACTAGGTATCAATTTTCATGACTACACATAACTCACGTAAACACCGTTTTTTACTGGAAATTTATAAACAATAAGAACGTTTGTGGTTTATATTTTTAATTCGTAAATTTCATGTTTATATCAAACATAATCAGTAATGCTTTACAAAATAATAAATTATAATATATCAAAAAAGTTTAGACTGATATCCATTGATAGGTAAGTAAACAATCATTTCCGCTAATAAGCGTTATATGTTTCGGCGGTGGGTGGGGTAATGCAATATTTTCTTTATATTAACAAAATGAGCGTTATAAAAAGATACTCGATACAACGCTGTCTTGAGATCATGGACCCCAACATGAGCGCTATAACGAGGCTCCAGTGTATTTATATCAAGGTTTTATACATGACATGACTACGTAAAGTATTATGGTTGAGTGTACACAGTGTACTTATAAACCAAGATTACAGTGAACGAGAAACATTGACCCCTCGTGTAACATTGACCCCTCGTGTAACATTTATTAACCGAAGGTCACAACTTGTCATATACAAAATTATCGACATGGTCAATAATCTGTTGATAATAATGTTTTACATTT